TGGCATAGAAATATTGAAAACAAAATTTTATTTATATGTCATACTTTTAATAATTGATCAAAGATTTTAAATTGAGAAGATTTGACAGGATGTTCAAAGATGAACTTTAGAAATATGTTAAAACGTTAACATGCTGTTTTGTCATTGTCTTCCGTTTAGATTATGTGAATCCATTAGTTACTCTTCGTTAAAATTACTTGCAATTAATGTATAAAATATAATGTTTATCTCGACAACAATTTTATTTTATCTACATATGAAATGATAAAATTCTATAAAAAACACTTGACAATGTGAATATGAGATAAATTTATTTAAGGATTGTTTGATAATAGAAGACTAAGTCAAATACTTTTCTTTTAATTCTTTTTTGAATATATGGTAAATAAAATAATTATGTATGTCATACTGCTGTGCAATTGTCTCACCTTCATGGTACATGTACAATGCACAGAGTCATTGCAGATGGATATTTCAAATCATTCTGTTAGTATTTCTCCGTCTAGAATCACATTACGAAAAGCAGACGTACAAAGTTGTCTTTTATACATATTGGCTCATCTAGTAGAAATTTGTTGTAAAAATTCTTTCGACATATTTCAAGTATATATTGACTAAGAAACTATGTTGATAGATGAATAGCAAACAATTGCGTCATAAAATAATATTAGTGTTTTAATTATACTAGATAAAACATTTACTTATTTGAAATGAAATGTGAGTTGACGCATTCAATTAAATGAGTCACCTGCAGGGAGCAAAAGAACATGCAACAGAAGAAAAATAATAATTTAGCTAATAAGAAAGATTAGAAAGTCTACGTTCGATTGATTAATAACTGAATGAAAGAAATGGTGTTGAAGTGATTTTTATAAATTTAGTAAATATTCAAGAATTCATCAACAATACTATGATCGCTATATTATGATACATTGTTTATTTATCGTTTTGTAACTTGTTTGATCGTAAACTTCGATATCAATCAAACTTCAGTTATTTTGATTATACTCTTCTACACATACAATGATCGACAAAATACTCTTAGAAGATAAAGCAAATGAGTATACTTTAAAGTATTACTCGAGTTTGTTCAAAGAATATTCTAATGTTTTATGAAGTGATTAAAATAGATTGACTAATCATAATCGTATTACTCAGTGAATATCAATTCTATATATTTATATGATTAAACCTATCTACTTAATATGAAAACTAGTACTAATAACTTTTAATGGTGCTTCGTATGACTTTGATTGGAAAAATTAATTAATATGCCTTCTATAATTAGCTTCTATACGTGTGATATTAAATTGTAAATCTAATTGAGACATGTGGTTTGAATAGATGTGATCTATGTATCGGACTAACGATCAACCACGTTCTAGAATGATAAATAAATTCCAATCTTGCTTTTATTTTATTTTATTTTTTCATAATTTTATGAAAATATAAAATTGTCCATGATTTCTTGGATATATGTTTAGTTGATAAAAATAACTTCAATCATATTTCTTATTAAAATTATGCTTTCGTCTTTCAGTTCAACATTGATACGGTAAATACAATACTGAAGATATGTATTTTAGTCAACGATATTTCCTGTTCCAAATTTATTGGATATTGTTGAAAAACTTGTTTTGATTCGCCTCTAATAATGATACACTTTCAAGTTATTTTAAAAATAAAAATAAAATTGTATTTTTCTGTATTCGTTATCTAGATAGCAGGTTCATGCTTTCTAGTATTTATTACCAAAGAAAAACAAATATCAGATTTCTATTCTAGATACGAATCTAATATTCTTCAAACAACAATAAGTCTCTAACAAGATGGTTCTCGAAAAACCATGTCGTAGAGAACTGATTAATGAATGTTGTCATTGGGCAACATACTAAATTCAAAATCCAAATCAAGATCACATAATCAAAATGTTTTGAATGAGTTCGAATAGTATTGAATAATTGAGTCATTTGTAAGAACTTTAATTAAACTATGTGAAGATCATGAATGTATCTTAGGGTTGACATAAATATGAGTTCAAGTAATTTCAAAAATCATCGATATTTGCTAGCATTTGTGTGATTCTTCTTTTTTTGGAAACTTATGTCCTTGTATCCCAATCATTTATCATTAAACTTAACATTCTTCTTTTTTTTAATTATTGCGTCTTTCTTTTCCAAGTTAATTGAAAGTATGTAAGCTCATCATTACTAACCTAACATTTTAATTAGATGTACACGAAGTTATTGCGTAACTTACTATAAGAGTGTGGTTGTTTTGACATTAAAAATTGTTTTTGGAAAGGAAAACGAAAACATAGTCATGCCTATGAAAAGCGAAAACAGAAGTGTGACAAAAATATGAATAGTGTATAGAATACATTTACCTGCAGTCATGCCAGTATTGCAACTAATTTTGCCGATCAGTATCTGAAATTAGTCATGTGCATCGATCTCTAATTGATAAATAGGTGATGCTAGTATTTGACATATCTAGGTAGTACTTGTTTTCTTTCTATTCATATATAAAAGCAAACTATATTTTGAAGAATTTTCAGTTTACAGCAAAAACAAGATATCAACTGTTCTTCATATAAGAAACACAAATGGGTGGCCTATCCTCTCGTGGTCTTGGTGGTGGTTATGATCCATTATTAGGCGGTGGCTATGGCGGTGGCAGTTATATCGATCCGTATGGTGGATACGGCGGATTAGGTGATTATTACTACACCTATGTTAATACTCCTATACCAGTAGCTCCCGCTCGTCGCCGCCGTAAGCGAAGATGTTGCCAGCCTTTATGTTGTGGTGGATGGGGTGGATGGGGTGGATGGGGTGGATGTAGATGTTAATGATGATAATTCGTTTGAACACTAAAATAGTTGAACAATATATATTAGAACAACTTGTTCTATGTTTATTTTTTGTAATACAACTTTATAATAGGAGATAGAGTCAATCTGTTTCCTATACCTTTTATTATGTATATGCTATTCACGTTGCTTTAAGCCATAAAGGATTTTTCTTTTGCTCATAAATCGCATAAAGTAGTATCTTAAATTGAAATAGTTAAATTCCATAAACATCTTATTTATATCGAAAAATATAGTTTTGTATAAAAAATATAGATTCTTCATTATTTCTATGCAGTTGATATGAATAGCCAATGTTTCATAACATATACTTTGATAAATTTAGTATATGCAGATTTGATTAAAAGTTCTTCTTGTCAGTTGTTTTATTATTCTGAAATGATCAGCAACTACTGCCATCATTCGTTGAAGAAACAATGGAATGGCACAGTGCACACACGAATCATTATCAATATCGTTAGTTGACAACTGATGATCAAATGATTCGTTTGAAATAAATAATTTTTTCTTTATTAATGACTATGGACAAGATTGATAAACCTTATTTATTAATGCTTGAACGTCTTCGTATTCTTGAACAATCTATTCATATTCTCAAGCTAGTTAATAATGATCTTCGACAAATTCTTCATAAACAGTAAATCGAAATATATTTGCATTTTTTTATTATCATTGAAATATATAAATTTCAGAAAACCTTTACCACAATTCATTCATGATTCATTTAAACGATCTACAGTTAATAGCTCAAAAACATCTTCTGCACTCAATCCTCCTCCTCCACTACCACCGCCGCCAACAGGTAAAATTAATTTTCAATTATCATGGAATTATTTAATATCTGTTTATATTTAGATACCGAAGAAATGCGTCTTGCTGCAAGTATCATCGACAAAGCAAAACGTACGATTGAAGTAAGTTCAGGTAGGAAATAAAGTATTTCATATTTGATCCTCTCCGTTTCTTTTTAATTTTTTTTTCAACAGAATGTTGGTGAAAAGAAACCAAAACAATCATCTACTGTAGTAGCAGCACTACCAGCTCCAATACCGGTTCAGTCAAACAGTACTAATAATAATCGTCCTAAGACTACATCATCACTACGGCCCTCTTCAGCAAGTTCAAGCATTCCATCATCATCATCAAGTTCGTCTGTACCTCGACAGCAACAATCACAGCAAACAGGACGTCGTTATGTTCCAGCTCATATGAAAGCTCCATTTTTAACACAACCTGAAAAGAAACCTCGACCTAGCTCATCAATTCGTAATAATATTCAAATTAATCCCAATCAAAGAACGAATACGACACGTCGTTCTCTTAGTCAACAACGACGACAATCGTCAACTTCACGACCAATCATCGAATTTTCTCAACAAGCAATACAAATACCAGCAATTACTTCGACAGAAAATGAAAACAGCTCGACGATCGAAAATCAGAATATCAATGTCACGAGTCAGAATATCATTCTTCCAGATAATACATCTATTATTACTACTGCAGAAGAAACAGCTGAAACAGATATATCTCCTGTTACACAACCAGTTGTACTTAATCGAACATTAATTAAACCATTACGTCGTTTATGGAAACAAAATCAAAATCTTCGTAGTCGATTAAAACGTGAGGTTGAAAAGAAATCAACACCATTACCTCCATTTATTGATCGTTTAAATGAACAAGTAAATGAATAGAAAAAAAAACATATTTCTTGACAAAATATCTGTTCTTTATTTTAGATTCATTCATCGACAACTACTGATAAAATATATTTACCAAATATTGAAGTATTACTTCAATTAGCCATTAAACTTCGTGCTATTATACTTTATCTTCTAGAAAATTGTATTTTTATTTCTAAAATAATCTATATAATCTAATTAAATATTTTTCATTTATAGCTACATTGGATGATTTTAATAATGCATTAAAACGTTTAAATACACTAAAATATCTTGTTAATCAATATCAATTTTTGTTTACTTCAAATATTGATATTTATGTTGAGGTAAATATTTTCTTCTTATTTTGTTTTTGTCTTCAAATTTTGCCATTCTAGAAACAACATCATCGTCCATTAAATATCAATATGAACATTGAAGGTATTATTATTTTTATCTTATAAACTTTCTGTATATATATTTATTATTTAGAATGGTTAAATAAATCAAAATCTCCTATATTAAATCATAATATTATTCGATATACTGATGATAATCAATTAATTGCTCTTACAGAAATACGATTTAAACAGTTTGAAAATGAATGTCGATGGATTGAATTAAATTGGCATGAACAAATGATAGTACAATTTAAACAATCTATATCAAATAAAAATCAAAATTCCCTTCAAATCTATCGAGAATTACTATCTCTTATAACCGGCTTACAAACAGCAACTCCAATTATGATTGAGAATAAACTTGAATGATTCTAAGAATAATTATAATAATAATAAACTAAATTCTGTTTTTTTTTCTGTTACTTGAAATTTTTTTTAAAATATATATTTAAATATGACTTTATGAACTTTTTAAGATTTTGTCTGCTTTTTTTGACGTTAAACTTGAATGTCGTCGACATGGCAAGTTTTACTTGCACTTGATGCTCGTTATAATGTTCATCGAACACCAAATAATTTTCAATTTAGTATGTGAAGACTTCATTACTACTCATTTTGTATTTATACATTTAGAAACACTTTATATTCGAAGGCGAAGTCAATTACTACGTGATAATCGTCCAAGTGAAGTAAGTTCAACTTATTTTTGT